TAGGAATCAGCGAACTAAAATGGACAGGAATTGGTGAATTTAATTCAGATGACCATCAGGTATGCTACTGTGGGCAAGAATCCCTCAGAAGAAATGGATTAGTCATTAAAAGAGTAGGAAAAGCAGTTCTGGGATACAATCTCCAAAATGACAGAATGATCTCAGTTCGAATCCAAGGCAAACCATTCAACATCACAGTAGTCGAAGTCTATGCCCCAACCACTGGTGCTGAAGAAGCTGAAGTTGACTGGTTCTATTAATTTTGTCAACAGAATACAATGGTCATAGCAAACAGTCTTTTCCAACAACCCAAGAGACGGCTCTACACATAGACATCACCAGACAGTCAACACAGAAATCAGATTGACTGTGTGCTCTGCAGCCAAAGATGGAGAAGCTCTAAAGCACTAGGCCACTCAGGTATGACCTAAATCATATCCCTGATGAATGTACAGTAGAGGTGACAAATAAATTTAAGGACTTAGATCTGATAGACAGAGTGCCTGAAGAACTATGGACGGAGGTTCACAACATTGTACAAGAGGTAGCAACTAAAACCATCCCAAAGAAAAAGAAATGCAAGACAGCAAAATGGCTGTCTGAGGAAGCTTTACAAATAGCTGAGGAAAGAAGAGAAGCAAAAGGCAAGGGAGAAAGAGAAAGATACACCCAATTGAATGCAGAATTCCAGAGAAGAGCTAGAAGAGATAAGAATGCCTTTCTAAATGAACAGTGCAAAGAAATAGAAGAAAATATAATAGGGAGGACCCAGAGATCTCTTCAAGAAAATTGGAGATATGAAGGGAGCATTTCATGCAAAGATGGGCATGATAAAAGACCAAAATGGCAGGGACCTAACAGAGGCAGAAGAGATTAAGAGGAGCTGGCAAGATTACGCAGAGGAACTATACAAGAAAGAGCTTAACGTCCCTGATAACCACGATGGGGTGGTCATTGACCTCAAGCCAGACATCCTGGAATGTGAAGTCAAATGGAAGTCTGAGCAACAACGACAAAGCTAGTGGAGGTGACAGTATTCCAGCTGAGCTATTCAAAATCTTAAAAGACGATGCAGTAAAAGTTCTACACTCAATATGCCAGCAAATTTGGAAAACACAGCAGCGGCCACAGGATTGGAAAAGGTCAGTTTACATTCTGATCCCAAAGAAGGGCAATGCCAAAGAATGTTTGAACTACTGCACCATTGTACTCATTTCATTGTACTCATTGTACTCAAAGCTCTGGCAAATCTAGACAGCATACTAAAAAGCAGGGACATCACCCTGCCAACAAAAGTGAGTATAGTCAAGGCTATGGTTTTCTTAGTTGCAATGGATGGCTGTGAAACCCGGACCATAAGGAAGGCTGAGTGCCGAAGGATTGGGGCCTTTGAATTGTCGTGGTGGAGGAGACTCCTGTGAGTCCCTTGGACCGCAAGGTGATCACACCAGTCAGTCCTAGAGGAGATCAACTCTGATTGCTCTTTTAAAGGCCAGATACTGAAGATGAAACTCAAATACTTTGGCCACCTAATGAGAAGGAAGGACTCCCTGGAGAAGAGCCTAATGCTGGGAACAATAGATGGCAAAAGAAGAAGGGGACAGCAGAGAATGAGGTGGCTAGATGGAGTCACTGAAGCAGTTGGTGTGAGCTTGAGTGGACTTCAGGGGATAGTGGAGGACAGGAAGACCTGAAGGAATGTTGTCCATGGGGTTGCGACGGGTCGGACACAACTTTGTGACTAACAACAACAACAACAACTTGGTTTGCTATTCCTCATCTTTCAGCTTGTACTTCCCTCTTTGTTGTAGATTTTCTTGTGGCAGAAAATGAGCCGAAGTAGGAACTGAATACCTCTGCCTTTTCCTTGTCATCTGTCATCACTTTGCCATCCACTTTAAGTAGCTGGACACCTTTCTCTTTCACATATCTTTTGTTCTCGAGGTATCTGAAGAAGGTTTTCCTGTTGTTCTTCGCATCCCTTGCTAATCTTAGTTGTTTCCTGCTTTAGCCTTCCTGACACCCTCCCTGGAATTCCTTGCTGTTTGTTCATACTCTTCCTTGGTGGCCTGGCCCTCCTTCCACCTGCTGTGTGTGTTCTTTTTTCCTTTCAGGTTGTCATTTACTTTTCTATCTTTTCCCCCCTCTTACAAAGAGTTCTAGGTGACTTACTTGGTCTTTTTCTCTATTTTATCCCCACAACAACCCTTTGAGGTAGGGTAGGCTGAGAATTAGTCATGGCCAAGTGGATATTAGAAACCAAGTCCATAGCTTTGACTATACAAACTTTTGATGGCAGGGTGATGTCTCTTCTTTTTAGTATGTTGTCTAGATTTGCCATAGCTTTTCTCCCAAGGATCAAGTGTCTTTTAAATTCTTGGCTGCAATCCCCGTCTGCAGTGATCTTGGAGCCCAAGAAAATAAAATCTGTCACTACCGCCATTCCTACCCCATCTATTTGCCAGGAAGTGATAGAACTGGATGCCATGATCTTAGTTTTCTTAATGTTAAGTTTTCAACCAACTTTTGCACTCCTTTCTCACCCTCATCAAGAGGCTCTTTAGTTCCTCTTCACTTTCTGCCATTAGAGTGGTATCATCTGCATATCTGAGGTTGTTGATATTTTTCCCAGTAAGCTTAATTCCAGCTTCCAATTTATCTAGCCCTGCTTTTCATATAATGTACTCTGCATATAAGTTAAATAGGCAGGGCAACAATATACAGCCTTGCCATACCCCTTTCCCAATTTTGAACTAATCAGTTGTTCCATATCTAGTTCTAACTGTTGCTTCTTGACCCACATATAGGTTTCTCAAGAGACAAATATGATACTCCCATCTCTTAAGAACTTGCCACAATTGCCACCCGCATTTACAGGATCACATTGCTTTGATGGCCATCAGACCTCAAGTTTCCTTTTAAAATAGATTTATTGAGAGGAACATATGCATGCCAACTCAGAGACTGCAAAAAGATAATTTCTAGGGGAAAATGAAAAATAAATGGGGAACGTTTTTACAGGGTAAAAGGGTTCGTGATCATAGCAAGAAAAGGTGGCAAGGTGGTTTGCCAAGTCCCCTGGATAACAGTAGAACTGGGAGAGAAGGAAGAGGACAACGCACTATGAGCCCGGTTGTCTCCTGGGTGCACCATGGGTTGTTCATGCAACAGCCAACTGCCATGAATTATTGCCTGCCTGTGCAATATGTCCACATAGAGATTTTTAGTTTAGAAAAATTCACTAGTGGGACTTCTGATTTATTCTAATAAAATGTTGCCTGACCATGGATTCCAAATCAGCAAGTTATATCTGGATGTTAACATTTCTTGGCAATACATGTGATGGCAAACTACAGTAAAGATAGCTACCCTCTTCTCTGTAATGTATGCACCATAGCCATTTCAGGATGAAGAAGGAGATTTTCTGTAATAAACCAACAAAACAGCACACAATGATAGCATAACAGATAAAAATGATTTTGGCTTGAGTCCTAAGATAATTTAAGGACATTCATGTAAGAAAATTGCAAAAGTCTGGCAAAGTTGTTAGCGTATACATTTTCATTGACTAGAGTCCATTACATATGATGCATATACATATGGTTATAGAGGAAGAAAAAGAAAAGAAAAAGGGAAGAAAAAGAAAACCAGTGAGTCAGATAGCATGCAATGCAAAATGTACAGTTTATCCTTAAATGACTTTCGATTAAACTGTGGTATCAATAGTGCTTCAGGTTAGACTTAGAAAGTAGTTCCTGGTGCTGCATGCACAGGCCAGTGTTACAGAGTTGTCATTTCACATTGCATGATTTAACATTATTATCTCACCCTGAAACTGCCAGATGAATCTTAATAGCTTCCTTGCTATTCTCTCAGTAGCTGAGAAAAGGGCAAAGCATGAATCTCACCCAAGACACTGCAGACCCCAGGGCCAGATGGCAGATTTAGACCCTGTCCTGACTCTGGTTTATTCCTTCATATGTGAGTGACTGGGTTTAGACAACCCAACATTCCACAACCAAAAGTTGACTATGGGTTGAGTGCAAGTTGGTGCTGAACCACAGGTTGTTGTTGAAATGTAGATTATCATATTGTTTGAAGCCAGCCAAGAGAAAAAACCATAGGGACGACCCACAGTTCATAACAAACCATGGGTTCTCTTCATGGATTGTTCCTAGTTAACAAGGCATGGCATATAAGCACAGCAGGGGTCAGACAATGCAATAACTCATGATTTGCCAACAACCTATACTCAGCCTGCACTTAACCCATGACTGTGAATTATGTTCTTTGAAGCTAGTAGGTATCTGCTATTCACACGTTCACTGGAAAAAGGAAGCCATATTCTTAGAACTATTTCTTTATTTTAAAATAGCAGAGAAAAGTTAAAAGTCTGTGTAACTTTAAGGCTTAGTATATTGTTCTGCCTTTTGTTTTTAGTGATATATTTATTGCACTTTTGTAATAGTGACAATACAGCCATATCCTTTACCATAGCCTGAACCAAATACTTGATAATCTATGAGTATTACATTACATCTTTGTTTTCACACTTCCAGTCACTATGCATCCTGTCATGCTGGAAAACTATTTACCAATCCCTTGGGAAATTTTGTTGCTCTCTAATAAATAAGAAATGTTTCTTGTTTAATGTCCAAACTTGAGAATAGTGTCATACTGCTTTGCAGGAAGTAAATAAATTAAGACAAAGATAATGTAAGAATCAGGGCCAAAATACATAATGGTAATTCAGAATGACTTGTGTGTCCAGAGGATTTATAAACTTACTGGCAGTAGAAAGTGCTTTCGCTTGTACAATACTTCCTCATAGTGTGATGCCATTTTACAAAATATTGGTTGATATTGCTCAAGAAAAGGCTGAGGTTAATGAGTAACCAGCCATGAAAGCTTATAAAATAGAAGGTTGCAGATGCAAACAGGTGGGTTTAATTATTGGTTCTTTTCAAGTCGCTTCAGTATTTCCTTCCATCTCAATGGCTTACATGAGTACTCTTTAAACTGCCAGAATCTGAAGCAGTCACTAACAGGATGGCCACCTTTGAGAAATGTAAGTGTCAGACTTGTTATTTTGCTTTGCTTCTTCCTTAATTTGCTGCAAATACCTAACCTATAATGATAAAAAATATTTTTTTTCAGTAAAGTGTAAAAGCTATTTCAAGCAGTCACTATAAGCAGAAGCATCTTTGAGTGTAGTGTTCAGACTTGTGGTTCTGCTTTGAATATTACATATTTTATCGAATCTATAGATTCTACAGTAGGAATATTCCTATTTGTTAGGCGCTAACTGCATGGATTTTAGGTTAGAAATTGATTGTTGAGAGGTATTCAGGAGTGCTCCAGTGCTCCCACTGTTGTGTTAGGGCAAACCAATATTTGTGCAAAATATCGAGTACTTGTGAGGGTAATGAGAGAAGCAGATATTTGTAACTGGAATTCATCAGTGGTGCTGAAATTCGGCAGCATATAATTGCTCCCCGCCCCCTCCCCGCATTGTCCTAGCTAAATCTAGTTATGTTGCAAATGTTGATTGATGCTAGCACAATATCATTGATCCCAGCATTGGAGTGTAATTGGATATTACAAAAGTTTTGGAAATATATTTCATTCTTCCTCTGCCACCAATAGTGAAGCAAACTCATCTTGTTCAATATACAGTGCATGGCAAGAGGTTGCTCTTTTGCGTTCTGTAAGTTTCTGTCTGTTAGAAAACAGTTGAAAAATATGGCATGGTTTTTGTTAGTTTATTTATCCATTTAGCATTGTATTATTCCAGTCCTCAGCCAAAATGCTTCTTGCAAATTATCAGTACAGCAGTCTCTGGCTTACAAAATAAAAAGACATGACCCACAAAAGAGGAGAAATGGGGAAGGAAGAAGGAAACAAAATTACTGTATTTTTCGCTCTATACGACGCACTTTTCCCCCCTCAAAAGTAAGAGGAAATGTCTGTGAGTCTTATAGAGCGAATGTACCACGTGGCACCACCTGGCCGGCACGTGCTCGGCGTGTGCTGCTTCGCCCCCCCCCTCCGGTGCAGGTGAGAGCTGTGCTGCTCACAGGGAGCGGTGCGGAGGAGGAGGAGCCACGGGCTTTAACCCGCCGGCTGCACAGAGAGATGGACTGCTCACCCCCACCGCCCGGGAAGACCTGCCGCCGCTGCACCGCCCGGAAGACCACTGCCGGCACGCTGCCAGCCCAGCTGCATCACGTGGCACCACCTGGCCGGCACGTGCTCGGCACGCCCTGCTCTGCCCCCCTCTTCAGCGCAGGTGAGAGCTGTGCCACTCAGAGGGAGCGGTGCAGAGGAAGAGGAGCCCCGGGTTTTAACCCGCCAGCCACACGGAGAGATGGACTGCTCACCCCCACCGCCTGGGAAGACCTGCCGCCGCCGCTGCTGCGCCACCCGGAAGACCACCACCAGCATGCTGCCGGCCCGGCTGCACCACACCTGGCCGGCACACACTCGGCACGCCCTGCTCCACCCCCCCCCCCCCGCCCAGGGGAGAGCTGTTAATCACAGGTCGGTGTGTGTTTTCAAATGGCAACCCGTCTTTTAATGAAGCCCATGGGGAAGTGATGGGGAATGTGCCTGTGATTATCAGGAAGCTTTCCATGGATCCCTCCTCTAAAAACTAGGTGCGCCTTATAGAGTGAAAAATACGGTAAGTGTTTCAGCAGGGCTGTTGCAATGGCCCTCCTTCCTCAGCACAGTCTGTTCCAGAAGCAACTCACTTTCTGAAGCTGTGTATTTCCGTTATACTGACACAAAATTATGTATTATGCTTAATGATGGCATTCTGACAACTGGAAACATATACCATAGGACTATTCAGATCTGACTGCAGCACAAACCAGAGATTACATTCTTTCTGGAGCAAAGGTGGATTTTTCCTTTTCTTTGAAAACTTCCTTCTGGAAAGAAAGGAATTTCTGACAAATACCTGTAATTTTCCAGTAATTATGTGAAACAAAACAAAACAGATACTAAATTCAATCCAGCCAAAGATCATTTCTCAGAAGTCCTGTTTCTTTCTGTAACAGAGAATTGAAGTAAATCATATGAGTAAACATGGGTTAAGTGTAGTGGAAATGACTGAAACATATGTTTAATGTATTCTAAGGCATTAAGGTTTTTGAGTGGCAAATTTGTAATCCATCAAAATCAAAATGAATACCCTTCTAAATACACTGAGCACTATCTTCTAAAAGAAACTTCTCAAGGAACGAGCAGAGCCATCATAAAATGATTCACTTAAGCCCCCTCCTCAAAAACAGTTTTCACCCAAACTTTCCTGCTGGAAGAAATGGCATTTCCTGTAGTGCTTGGTTCTAGCAGAATTTTGGACAGGTAATTACTTTGACATGTCAGGGTTCTCCCAGTGTTGGTGATGTCAGCAACATTTAACTGTAATCTTAAAGTTCAGAACAGTACAAGTTCATTTCATTTCCACAGCAAAGATTTAAACATGTTTAACTGTGACACTGAAACCAGTTTTTCAAATTGGCTGGATTGTGAGCAGATGTTTTTCTTTAACATACTGAGGGTCGGGGGGCTCACCATCTCCTGCCCAGTAGCCAGCAAGGGGGATACACTATGGGGAGCGAAGAGACAATGTTGCTGGCTCCTGGAGCATCAAGACCTTCAGCAATGGGACATCGGGCGGGGGAAGTGCACACGCAGCCCAGCCCTGGGCAACCAGGCATGCAGCTGCTTTCCCCAGGGAAGGAACACCTGGAAGAGAGGGCGGAGGCAGGACAGCACCAGAGGGATAAAGATGAAAGCAAGGAAAAGGACAGAGAGGTGGACATGGCACAGGGAGAGAGAGAAAAAGCAACAGCAGGAAGGCAGAAGTGGTAGGAGAATGGGAGTCAGGGCAGGAAAGGAGCTTAACTCCTACAGTCTGGGGCAGAGGAAGAGGTCTAAGGCTGGACCCAGCTTACCTTCCCCCCCTGTGCCTACATGGGGAAGAAACAGCCTGTCAAGGGTTAGAGAGGTGGAGAGGAATTGTCCCGCTGTGCACAAAGCAGGGCACTGTAGTAGAGAAGGGCCTTGTCAACGTTAAAGCGGGGGCTCTGGAAAAGCTGGCCGCAGGTGGTGGGGAAGACACCGCTCCCTGCCCCAGTCGGGACAGTCAGGAGTGTGCCCGAAGTTAAAGAGATGGCTTCCTTTTCAGCTAAGCCCCTGTAAGAAGTGGCCAGGTGGCCCTGTTGTTTCTATCCCAAGGACTGTATTAAAGGTGTTGCACTACTGACTAAGAATGTTTGTGGTGATGGAAGCAATGGAGCAGGGGGAGTTTGATGTTCCCCTCCTCCCTGACACAATCACACTGGTGGAGAAGATGGGCAGGGCATAGGGAGTGGGCACAGCAACCCTTCCCTCTGCCCAGGCAGAGTCTTGGATGGAAGAGCAGCGGAAACAACAAGCTCAAGGAAAGCCACACCTGCTCCAGCAGTTGGTCTCTCAACAAACACAGTTAATGGAACAGCCATTTAATGCCAACTGCAGAATCAGAGCATGTTAATACTGCAAGTGTTAAGGGGTTTGCGCCCACCCCAGGTGAAGACTGAAGGTGGCACCTCCACAGAAGTACAAAGGAGAGGGGTGACCCCATCCACATATCAAAGATGGCTCTAGCGAGCGATCACAAAGCCTTTCTCAAATGAGATACTGCTGGTGCAATGCATTCATGGGGATGTCAAATCTTATACCACCTGATGGGCAAAAGGGTAATTGCAGGGGCAAATCTGATTTTGTAAAGTGGGGATTGTGCCCAGTCTGGCCTATGGGCTAATAAAAGGGTGGGACTGGCCTCACTTTGAGGAGCTCATGAGGGAGGTGTCAGGAGGAGAGGCTTTGGTTGGGGAGGATGACGATATGGGGCTACTGCCACCACACATATCAAGAGCCCAGCTTGGGTTAATTTGCAACAGAATGATGGCTTACTAGGCCATGCCCTGCTCCAGGCTCATGCTGGTCCAGAAATGAGATGGCTGGAGATTTATTGTACTGGGTGGTGCCAGCCCATGGGAACAAGCCTGAACTTAGACAGTTGCTGGTCCCAGAGCCACTTAAAGTATCAGTTCAGCAGGACACCTGGCAGTAGAGAAGACATTGGAGAGGTCCATGTACCAATTTTACTAGCCCAGGTTAGAAACTACTGCTTATCCTGCTCTGAGTGCCAGAAGGCCCAGGGGTGAGGGACCACCACTGGACCCCTAATTCTTTTACCAGTCATCAGGGAACTGTTTGAGTGTATAGTATAGGGGTAGATGTGGTAGGGCCTTGGAAAGGTCAGCCAAGGGGCACCCATATGTTTTAGTAATAGTGGCTTATGCCACACGATACTCAGAGGCCATTCCTCTGTGCAATAATACCACTAGGACCATAACCAATGAGTTGTTGGGGATTTTTTCCAGAGTAGTCTTCCCCAAAGAGATATTGACAGATCAGGGAACCAGTTTCATGAACCAAGTACTGAAACTACTCTGGAAGACCCTAAAAGTCAAGCCTTTCCACACCTCGGCGTATCATCCCCAGACCAATGATTTGCTCAAGGATTTAATAGAATGCTCAAACAAATGTTAAAGAAATTTGTGGCTGCTTACCCTGGCAATGGCATATGTTGCTAGGGCTCCTGATGTTTGTCATATGGGAGGTACATCAGGCTTCCATGGGTTTTTCACCCTTTGAGTTATTGTATGGGAGACACCCTCGGGGTATCCTAGACCTGGTAAGAGAGGGCTGGAAATCCAAGTGCACACAAGCCAGTTCCACACTCCAATATGTTCTAGAAATGAGAAAACACCTGTGGGACATAGTCCTAGGAGCTGAGGCCAATCTGGGGCAAGCCCAAGAGGGAAGTATTATTATAATCTCAAGGCCCAACCTAGGAATTCAAGTCTGGCCAGCAGATCCTCCTGTTGTTACCTGCTGGCAGTGGCAAATTATTTGCACAATGCAGGGTTCCTATGAGATAATCAGGAAAGTAGGCCCATAGATTATGAGGTCCAGCTAACTGATAAGAAATGGTCAACTCAAATATATCTT